AGTGCTCTCGCTCTCTCTGCATGTGCAAATAAAATAAATTAAAATAAAAAATAAAAAATTACTTGCCCTAGACACTGAAAGCTCCATAAAGATAATTTCTTCTTCTGTAGTATTGCTCATTAAAAACATACAGAAACTCAGTTTTATTACAAGTGTTCACGCCACTTCTTTTTTCCCTCCAGAATGATAAATGCCGCATGAATATTCTAAAAAAATCACAGAAAGCAACAGTAACTGCCTACGTGGCAAATTAGACTTTTATTTTCCAACATTATAAATGTGTTTTGTTTTCTCCCTGTTCACTTTGCAACTATATTTACAACCAGAGCTGTTACTTTTAAAATGGTGAGGGTCCAAATTTGATCGGGAAACAATTCATTCTAGTTTTGCCTAGTGTCAAACTCAGACATTTCTCGTCTAAGACTAGTGCTGTCAGGGAATTTCATACAGACAAAGTGAACTTGTTGATAAATACTCTTTCAGGTTCCGCTAGCTATTTAACTTGGGGGCCTTTACAATAACCAAACACTGTTTTTCCAAAGTCCAGATGTCTAAGAACAAACAGCACAGAACAGGGCATTTTTACTGTATCTTTTACACAAAAGCACAGTCTGAAATGGCATATTCCAGCACGTGAAATTGAATTTTATACGAGTTCCTGGTATTGGACTGTTTTTTGCTTTTCCGTACCCTTTACACTGTTGGAAACAATAACCCTATTTAAAATCTCACGGTGGCAATGAGACAGACCCTTTAAAACCTTATCGCAGCTGTTCAAATACAACATCATTGTCAGGTTAAGAGCCAGTGTCTTTTACAGCTTCAGTCTAAAAAGCTTCAGTGTTGCCAGAGCGTTTAAATATTACCTTCGTGATGTAAGCTGCTTTTAAGATTTTTCTGCGCTCCCCAAATCTTGTATACCTCCCTGCCCTCTTGCCGGCATGTTTAATCGCCACAGAGAATTTAGCACAGACAACGGGCTGGTGTGTATATTTAAGATCATTATCAGAGCCATTGCTAAGATTTGCCTGAGCTCAGGACCAAACTGCAGTCGAGTTCATGACGCTCGCTGTTTTCAGACTGGGTTATTCCCCCTGCTTTCTAACAATTTCCTCTTTTGGAACAAAAAGCCCTGCCAACCCACGGAGTTTCAAGAAACAAAATACTCTTTTCCTTGACGCAGTTTAAGACTTGACTGTTAAATCTAATCAGGAATTTTATGCCCATCAAATGGTC